TTTATAGGGTAGGCATTAATTTATAGGTATTAATGATCAATAAATAATCAATAATAATCAAAAATCGCTGCCTTGTTACATATAATACAGAAAAACAAATACGTTGATTGAATTCACAATATGGTAAATTCTCCAACATTAAGAGAAAAGGTAACATCTTCAGAAATTTTGACCTTTACAGAATTTAACATCCATGGTATTGTACACCTGTAGTTAAGACTTATTTTCTTTGCTTTCAATCGCTTCAGCGACCAGTGTATCCAAGCAAATATCTTTTATTGGATTCGCTCAAATTAGGCGTGTAGGCAGACGGTCTTATCTGCTTCTAATCCAAATCTTATAACAACCTACGGTAGCCGAGGTATATTTCTGAATTTTTCCTTGGCTTCGTCGCATAGTTATTTAGTTATCGTCTAAAGTATCCCATATTGCTTTGGACTTATGGGCAATTAGTCTTATCTTCAGTGTCAAGTGCCGGCCACTTGTCTTGTATACAACCTATACTGACCTTTTAGTCGGATCTGTCTTCTACATCGACGGACGGGGCTCTGAAACGTGTTTTTGTACATAAGACGGAAAGGTCTGGCAACGCTTTTAAATATTTACTTTGATAGTATATCTGCGAAGAGTAGCTTCCGTTTAATTATGTGGCCGTTGAGGCGTCCATTTGTTTGTTTTAAAAAATGGTATGTTCAAACTTTTACACACACACACACACTCACACACTCACACGCCGTCTATCAATGCCTTCTCACGCAAACTGAAACGATTTAGGTTTTCCTTATGTCTGCAAAGATGGTTACAATGGATCGGTTAAACTCATCATTTGCCATTTGCCTTAATCTTCTTAAAGTTCTCTGGAGAATTTATCGTTTTTTCCTTAAGTCGACCTATTTAACATTCCATATTTAGGATCATTATGTGATTCTCCAAGGGAGCCGTTTCTGTCCAAAGACAAGTACTGGTACTGTTTTGGTCCCAGGGGTCGGCAAGGTACTCATGTGATCCTCTCTCTCTCTCTCTCTCTCTCTCTCACACACACACACACACACACAGAGAGAGAGAGAGAGAGAGAGAGAGAGAGAGAGAGAGAGCTTTGGAGGCACCTCCTTTCCTTCTCTTAGACCATCAGAGCAAGCACAGCAAGACAATTTTGCGCCATTTTTCATCCTTGTACCCTACGTATGTATCAACGCAAAATTGTCCCTTTTCACTGTTTTGCATTTGCCGACCACAGCTGGACAAGTACTTTTCATCCTGCCCCTCCCCCCCCCCTCTCCAACACACAANTTTTCATCCTTGTACCCTACGTATGTATCAACGCAAAATTGTCCCTTTTCACTGTTTTGCATTTGCCGACCACAGCTGGACAAGCACTTTTCATCCTGCCCCTCCCCCTCTCCAACACACAGAGCAAAACCCTGCGGTGCAAATCTTTCTCTCAGAAAAAAGAAGAGTGACATTGATAAACTGAATTATCTCTTATTCTCCAAATCCCTTAGAACATGAAGGCATAAGACACTCAGTCATTCTATCGTAGTGCTGAAGATGGAAAAGCAACGCATTGTGAAAATGACATTGGTCCCTCTGCATATTCTGCGAGGTAGAGATTACATACATAATGGACAACCTTTCTATATATTAAGGGTGAGATCATCCCCCCCCCCCTGCTGAAAAAATCACTTGCGCAGATGTACAGTGTATATATTTTGTAGCACTGAATTCACGGAGCATGGCATGTACTTTTTTTAGTCTTGGTCTGCTTTTTAACTTGGAAATGGACGATGTGACACTGTCTTCTATTTCGTTTTGAACGGGGCGTCTTTCCCTCTTCCCTGTACTATACCCAACCCATCAGGCTCATCTTATGTTTTAATGTTAGTAATATAACATGAAATAAATAGGCCTATGAGTACCGTTTTTGAGTAACAATATGGTCTGGCACCTTGACGAGCTCATGCAGTTAATAAATAATTCTTAATTTACTTTGGTTTCTTCCTTTTTGTTACTTCCGCTTCGTGTTAATCTTTTATAACATTCTAATGCGTTCATCGCGTTTTACCATATAATGCATGGGATCTCTTATGAGAGAAAATTTAACTGGATAATTAACGCACTATAGGGAATTAATGAGTTTTAACCTGATTAGTTTTTTCCCTCCGTTCCTTCTTACCCAGGGGAGTACATTTTTCTTCTCTTTTTCACCGCTCTTTTATGAACAGATATAAGGTAATTTTTCTTCTCAGTTACTATATTCCTTCCAGATAATTATTTTGTAAAATGTGATACTTTGTTTTTCGCAATTTATGTCCTTCATTAGTTTGCTAAGGGACATTAAAGCGTACGTATCGGGACTTCCCGTCTGTCTGTTGTAGCCGATTAAGTCGACTGAACAAAGGCGGAGGGATACATAGCAGATCTTCGGTTACCTCAGTGTAGATACTTGACAGGTTTCGTGATTATTAATAACGTTGTTTTTACTATTTTGTTCGTAATGAGGACTTCCTCTGGGCTTCCCTTTTCTGTTCACCTTTGAGGATTGAAGCGGAAAAAAGGTTTCTGCCTCGTCTAACTCTACTCACTAATGTGATAATGAACATTAAGACGAAATGAGTAAAAAAATAACTGTTAGTTTGTGTCACTGATATATTGAGGAGAATCATTAAAGAGAAATATGCTCCTCTTTAAAAGTACGTAATGGTTGCAAAGAGCCATGTTATCATTGGGACATTGTTCAGCGTGAAAGAGCCATATTTACCCCCCTCCCCCCCCCCCCACCACACACACACACACACACACACACACACACACTCTCTCTTTCCCCCCTCTGGAGTCACCAATGGTTCTTGCGTGTTTTCAGTTCTCAAAGAACAAATACTGGTCATCGAATCGGAACAGTGCTGGGGGGGGGGGGGGGGGGGGGGGGGGGTACATTTGCCCTTTCAGTGAAAAAGGGCAACGGGTCGTCTCTGATAAAAAAGAAAGCGGTTTTTCAATACTGCATCATCTCTTTATTAAGCCTCCTCCCGTCTGATGGAAACGGTTTTCCCCTGATCAATGCACAACGATCGTTGTCCTTATTAAGACATTTTTAAGAGGTTGTATCTCTCTACGGTAATTTCTCACACCTTTCGGATTTATAACTTACAAATTCTAAAATCATGTTTTTACCGGAGGTTAGCGTATTTTAGTAATTCACAAAAAGGTATTTGCGTCTTGAACTTAACTCGCATTTCAGAGAGCTGGAAACATAAACAGAATTTATCAAATAAAAAATCACTATCATCATCCTTCGCTCTTGGGCGGAATGGGAACAGCAGCAGCACATTTAGACCAGGGTTGTTTCTCTCTCCTTTCTGAAAGGATCTCATTAGTTTCAAAAACCAGTATCATTCATGATGTTGCCGGCTTAAGTTACATTCGGCCTGCTTCTGTGAGCATTTTCCCCACAATGACAGTTTAGAGACTGGCTGGTCTAAGGCCCCATTCAGAATAAATGATCCGAGTACTAACTGATCCGCCGACTACATACGGCCGACCACAGTTCAAAAGCGATGCCGCCGATTCCTGGTGGTCTCCCCGCCTCCACACGCGTCGGTCACATTTAGTCGGTGGGTCAGTTAGTACTCGGATCATCCATTCTAAATGGCCCCTGTTAAGGTGCGTGGGCAGTGCCCAGCAACTGCAGTCTTCTTTTGCTGGTGACAGATGATAACGACGCTGGGGATGCATACATGCACAACTTTGTGTTCGGAACTTGATCTTTTATAATCTTTATTGGGATAAAGCAACCCCGAGGGTAGAAATTTTAATATATATACATATATTATATTACATTCAATTCACAATTCAAAGAAGCCTGGTAATATTTTCTGCCGATATCAAACTGTTGGATATCTTTCGGATATGCTGATAGCAATACTTATTCAAATTTATTGGAATTTTACGATAGTACTATTTTGTAGGATATCGAGTCATATATCAGTGACTGCCTTCAAATAATTATAATTGAGATGTAATATTTTAATAAATCCCAAGTTCTGGAAAATATGGTGGAACATCGAACAGGTGAACGGTTTACAGCTTCCTGCATGTCATCTAGTGCAAACATAAAAAGATATAAGAGTTTAAAAAATCAGTACCATATGTTTCTGTGCGAGAAAGTCAAATGGTTATGCTTAATGTCACGAAAAGCACTCAACTTTATTCCATATCATACATAGCTTAATACGTTAATGCAGAACCATAATATTAAAAAAAAAAAAAGATAGATGTGGTTAAACCTACTTTTTTTTTTTACCTTGGGACTCTACTAAAATAAAACAACATGCATGAATGTTTCCTAAATTTAAGCTAAAATCGGATTCTTTCTGCGGGGTATCGATCATTAAGCAATTTATGTACTGGTATGTCCCGATGTATGTGTGACGAAACGGAGGGTCCAAGTAACAGACAGTCCATCCTCCATATAATTATTTCATTTTATTTAGGGTTAACCTGACGTTAGTGGGTCAAAATCTAGGACGCGGAATATCTGTGCTAATTTTCTATCAGGGGGGGACTCCGTTTCGTCACACTAGAGACACACCGAGAGAAGCCGCCAAGTACAGAAAAAATTAACACGTACTTTGATTCTACGTCGGACTTTAGACAATAACGTTAACCTATAAAGATTTGCCTTTACATTGCATATCGAGTGCATCAGTGAAATTGTAGTCAAATGAAACGGAGATGCGAGCTGGTTGATAAAATGACACGGAAAAGTAGGTCAGCAGCAAATGGCCAAAGTAATTTTTTTACTTAATTTACTGCAAGTCACTGCTTCCTTTTAATTTGCGATCATTGGGCTCGGCATCTCTTTGCATTAAACAACCAGAATAAGCAGGAAAGTGTTAACCAGAAGATGAAATACAAGGCAGAATATTAATAAAATTTCATGGAGGGCAAGGCAAAATAGGTTTATAAATAACTAAATGAAAAGAAAAAAGAACAAAAAAATCTAACAAATGAAACTGTCCAAAAGAGCAAGGACTTGCAAATTGTAATACAACAGTTATTGCAAATTGACACAATGCTGTTTTTCACATTACAAGTAACGAGCAAACCACTCCAAAACTTTTATTGCAAGTATAAATAATATACAAGCATAGGACCTGTGGGAATACACCATATAAAGTTTGTTTTCTCTTATGTTTGAAGACACAAACTTACATAAAAGAGCACATGATTTTATGTATTAATAAACATTATACAGCAGCATCTGCAAAAATATTTCTAAACATTGCAACAGGATATATCTCTTTTCACTTCTGGAGCAATCTTATCATCACACTCCTCTTTGGCTATAGCTTCAGCAGTATAGACACCCCTTTGTTTATTTGTCCCAAGGGATGAATCTTCAGTTTGAATATTTTCTCCACTGTGGATCCTTTCATGTTTTATACACTGTATCTTCTGATTAAAAGTCTTTCTGCAAAAATTGCACCTGAACAATTTTTCTCCAGTGTGAATCCTTTCATGTTGTATACAGTTAATCTTCTGATTAAAACTTTTTTTTGCAAAAATTGCATCTGAATGGTTTTTCTCAACTGTGGATCCTTTCATGTTTTATACACGCAATCTTCTGATTAAAACTCTTTCCACAATAATTGCATCTGAATGGTTTTTCTCCAGTGTGGATCCTTTCATGTTGTATACAGTGAATTTTCTGATTAAAACTCTTTTCGCAAAAATTGCAACTGAATGGTTTTTCTCCAGTGTGGATCCTTTCGTGTTGTATACACTGGCCCTTCTGATTAAAACTCTGTTCACAGTACTGGCATTTAAATTGTCTTTCTCCAGTGTGAATTCTTTCATGCAGTGCACATTTACCACGCACACTAAAACTCTTTCCACAATACTGACATTTGAATGGTTTTTCTCCAGTGTGTATCCTTTCATGCAGTGTATATTTACTTTTCACACCAAAACTCTTGTCACAATAATGGCATTTGAATGGTTTTTCTAGAGCATGAACCCATTCATGCTCTCTACATGCACTGCTATCACCAAAACTCTTATCACAATACTGGCACTTGAATGGTTTTTCTCCAGTGTGAATTCTTTCGTGTCGTACATGGCTACTTTTTAAATTGAAACTCATTTCACAATACTGGCATTTGAATGGTTTTTCTCCAGTGTGAATCCTTTCGTGTTGTACATGGCTACTTTTTAAAATTGAAACTCATTTCACAATACTGGCACCTGAATGGTTTTTCTCCAGTGTGAATCATTTCATGCCGTGTACATCTACTTTTGGTACTAAAACTCTTTCCGCAATACTGGCATTTGAATGGTTTTTCCCTGACATGAACCCATTCATGTACTCTACATAAAACTTTGTCACTAAAGCTCTTATCGCAATACTGGCATTTGAATGGTTTTTCTCCAGTGTGAATCCTTTCATGCTTTATACAGGAACTTTTGTTATTAAAACTCTTTATGCAATACCTGCATTTGAATGGTTTTTCTCCAGTGTGGATTTTCTCATGTTTTGTACAGTTACCTTTGGAACTAAAGCGGATTTTACAATACTGGCATTTGAATGGTTTTTCTCCAGTGTGTGTCCTTTCATGCCTTAAATAGCTATGTTTGTGCTTAAAACTCATATCACAATAATGGCACTGGAATGTTTTTTCTCCATTGTGTTTTTTCTCCATTGTTTTATACAGTTATCTTCATAAATAAACTCATTTTACAAAACTGGCATCTGGATGGTGTTTTTCCAGTGTGGTAACTTCTATGTCACACACAGCTACTTTTCTTTTTCTACTTTCACAATACAAGTACAGGTATTTGATGGGGTTTGCTCCACTGTGAGTTATTTCACTTTGTATGCAAATGTTTAATTTAAGCACTCCTCAAACATTAAGAATGCACTAGGAAGACAACTTTTTTACAACATTCGTACATCTATGGCTCCTCACCAGTGTTTAATCCCTAAATGTATTAAGCATCTGGTTATTTAAGTACGTCTCTTATCGCCAAAACTGCATTTGTAATTAATGGATGTTCTGTACCGACTTCACTGGTCGTTTGAGTTAGTCCTCGGTGTCCGTGCTTCGGATCTTGGAGACAATATTCCTCGGTTTATTGTGTCATCTACCTGGAGGCGAAGTGTAGTTATTGTACATGTGAATGTTGCAGCATCACCAGCGACATATTTCTTGCTTACAAAAAACAAAGTTGCATGATTGTATCCGGTCACTTTCAGCTTGTTTCCATAAACAATGGGAAACCGTAACAGTATCAACAGAGAGCCATGCACGTAAAAAGGGTAATCTACTATCATCCGATACTAATTGTGTAACAATCTTCATGACAGGCCACATTCCAATTCATCAATGTGAGATTGGCAAGCACATAAATTCATATTTAATTATTCATTAAAGATTCAAATTAAACATTCCATTTACAAATTGATATTTTCTGATAAAAGTTCATCCGTGAAGTCTCTGGACAATTATTAAAAGTTTAAACTTTTCACTTTCTAAACAAAATGAAAAGGCAGACACAAAGCATTCGGTTAAACTGTGACCTTCCTCAGTGTGTGTTATTATGAGGGGGGAACCCCATCGCAAATAGCGAAAGATCGCAATGTTTGCGTCTGGTCGCAATTTGCGATGCTTTTGAGTTATCGAACCCAGAGAATCCACCTCCAAAAAGCAGTATGAGTCGAGAATGGAGACAAAATTGCCGCGCTTGCAAGCTAGAGAGCTTTCTATATAAATGAATCATCCTGATTTCCGGACCTTCAAATCGATTCCATTCCCCACAAAAATCTATCGATCCAATCTCAATTACAATTTGCAAATCTGCAGGTGTCGTCACCTTGTGTCTCTTCAAGCAATTTTATGACATTAATACTACTTCACAAATTAAAAAATAATACGGATTATTTTTAAATTGCCAATGGCCAATAACATGTAGACCCGTCATGTTTATTTTCAAAACCTGGACATTTTGAAACATGCAAAACAACATCCTGAAAATCAATAGGTCTCGCCCCGTCTTCACCATCTTTGCAGAAATAAATTTTCGTAAAAAAAGCAGATTTAACCAACCATAATTTTCCTTGGACAACTAATACATTTGCATTTACACTTACGCACAATTTATGCAAAAGTAATAAATAAATGTCCATCTGCCACAGGTATCAGGGAGTACTATATTTTGCATGACCAGTATTAACTTTTTCATTTAATCCATTCCAGATAAGTAACAGATGTGTGGTTCCCACGGACTTTACACTGTTGGACTATAGCCTTAGAACGGCAGGGTCAGGAATAACCAGCTCGAACTTGAGCCAGACAGAAAAATAGCAACACTATAAGAGGTACGACGGTGAAAACTTATGCACGCATATTCGGGTTATAAGTAAGACAGCTAGATCACATCGCCCTACAGGGAGAGACACAGACCAGAACGCGTGCGCGCACATGCAAACACGCATACTCACGCGCGCACACTCGACCTGGCCTGCAAATGGGGATGGCCGCTTAGAACAAAAACAATGATCAAAATTTTGAAAGGTAGATTCACTGTATGTGCACCGATTTCTGGTTATCAGGACAATTGTTCATGTTGATTCTTTTCCCCAGCACGTGTAATAAAAAAAAGCGTTGCTGTGCACCCGAACACGAAGTGGGTTGATAACGAGATCGAGTTTCGTCGCGGAGAAGTGGAGAGAATTGAACACGCACACTGACCGCAAGTGAAGTGTGTGAGTCCGAGGTGAGAAGACAGTCAAACCCACATACAAACCGCAAACGACAGCATTTGCGGGGAAAAATTATTTCTATAAAAAGGACAAACGCAGTGTGGTTTTTAGGCGGTTGTGGTGAACCCAGTATAAAATAACCCGATAAGTGATGTAATACAATAGGTAGTCACTGACATAGGATTGGATTTAGACGATACATAGATGCACGACGGACGATATATGGTCACTGATCAACGACACAAGGTTCAAAACTGGTGAAGGAATATCGTCATAGGACGGCAGGAAACCCACGACACGCAAATTAACTTACATAAAAGTGAACATTGCATGTTAAATATACAGCACAGAAGCAAACTAGAAACACTTATTTCAGTGTGGATCGTATTGAAGCTCTCTGATTACACCTAAAACGCAACACAGCATTCAGACGAAGAAACAGCTAGTGTACGATATGAAATCATTGAGTGTGAAGCAATCAAATGGAAATTGCTCATGATGCAGTTTTTATGTCCCGGCACTTATGAGTCTGAAAACGGCATAGAAGACTTACGTTTGCGAATTGAGTAAAGGATTATTCTACGGGCAAATGAACTTTATAATAGCGTTGTCAGGAGAGAAACGCAATAGGAAGTAGACTTTTAGCTTGATGGATGGATAACGATAATTCTGGAGATGAATCTGGCGTAACACTGTGACTTTTATAACCCGGGCAACGTACTTCAGTGGGCATGGAGGCAATCAAGTTTTCGTTAGCACGGCGAATGTTAGCGGTTGGGTGTTTTTCTCTGCTTATCGGACGGACGAGTGCGACCCCGACGACACCGGAGTTACCGGATTACGTACATGGGGTAGGTGTCCTTTTATTAACATTATTGTAGTTGGCCTCTCTGTGATATCTGATAAGATGACCCTAGTAGATATCAATGTATATACAAAATCGAGATCTGCTATTTATATGTGTGTCTGTTTGTCTTTCCGTCTGTTTGTTTGTTCGTCTGTCTGTCTATCTGTCAGTTGCTTGAACATTGGTTGAGTAATTGACATGGTTAGGGCTGTCTTCCCTTCCGCAAAGTTGTAGTCACGAAGACGTAATTTAATACGCGATATTTGTCAAAAAGTTGCAAATAGATTCATGGATTTGAAAGAAGAAGAGCACAATAGTAATAAAGAAAGGCACAATAACGAAATAGAATAGATAGGTCTCAAAAGACCACAATTCTAGGGAAAATGCTACATTTTGTTTATCGCTGAGAACGAGCACAAAATTCCGTGCTTATCAAAGAAGGACTGCACATGTTGGTATTTTAGCAGCAAATTTACGACATTGAGCACTAAACCCCGGAAATGTAACAGCAATCGCGGTAATCACGTGTATTCGCATCAAAGTTTGACATGTACGATAATGTTGCACCTGGTTCACGTTTCTGGAACGAATGCAAAGAATTTATCACTGGCGGATGCAGAGGTTAAAGGGATAACAACTTGGTTTTGGCCCAGAAAAACATGTTTTTTTTTTCTGGGGTAAACGACGTATTTTTCCATAATTACCAATGGTTAAAGAATCAATTTCGACATTCAAAGTTAGTCCATATTTTTTTCTAGAAACTTTTTTTTTGTAATAATCTCTTAAGAAATTATAACGGAAGCATCTATGCCATCTTTGACGTTCCGTACATGTACTATCTGATGGCAAACACAGATTCCAGAATTATTGTAATAACCGTTGTTTGACAGGTACGGTGGAATTTATTATACTTCTATGAGTTGTTTACAGTGTATAGATTGTGAATTGTGAATCTCACACGAACAGTTGTTATCCCTTTAATTAAGAGGAGGAGGAGAGGTACGAAGATTACGTCTTTCACGTGTTTGGACATACATATATGATAATCTTAAGCAATTATCGGTGGAGATTTTTGTAATGAAGCTGTAACAGGATCATGAGGGGATTTGCGGGAATTACCGGCACGCTTCTGTTCATGTGATTATTTTAATTAGCGTTTCATTGGGAGATGTTGTGAACAGTCGGAAGTCAAATTTCTTTCTCTTTCTCTCTCTCTCTCTCTCTCTCTCTCTCTCTCTCTCTTGTTAAATATGATTCTCCTTATTGAATCATGTATTTGTTATTTTTCTTTCAGTCATCATCTCATGTTCATTCATTTATTCATTCATTCATATGTGCACTTTTGTATCTTTAAGCTGTGGTTTTGGTAGATTTGCCAATTTGATTGTTCCATCGTCCAAAAACAAGTTCGGATCCATTAGAACATGAACTTAACGTCAATTTGACTGTTAGGGTTCTCCGTTTTCTGCTTTCAATTGCGTCCTCAATTCACTAAACTAGGGTTATATGATATTGCTTACAATAACAACGGCAAATTTGTCACATGGGATAGGACGCATCCTTGTATCGCTTTACACTAAGTATTCCATTACCGCTAGGCTGACTTCATGTATCGCTTTAAT